GGTGGGAAAATCAATTCACCAAAAATCAAGAAAATCAGTCACGTGATGACAAAGCAAGAAAATGATTTCCATGAAACAAAAAGAGTCATCAAACAAGCTAAAAGTGGATTCCATTTTCCATGGAAAAAATTGGCCAATCAAACATAGCCTAAAAATGTCCAAATTCAACATTTACTTTTATAAAGTCTTGCTTTGGGATTGGTTCAATTCAAACCATTTCTAAGACTTGTTAAAACATGATTTATTATTCATATTATCTTTTTTCTAGATGTCATACTTTTTTTATTTCACATATTAACTCCATTATTTCCTTAATATTCAGTACTAAACTATTCATGACAACGTTGATATGAGATTCTCACCATCAATTATTTGATTAGATAGACCATAATATACTTAAGAGATAATTAGTGAGAAATAATTAAAACTGAAACAAAATGCAACATTTTACACGTACAATAATTATTACACAACTCAATAACAATAGTCAAAGTAAATAATAATATACCGGTTTATCGACTTATTAATATAAAAGTTATACTGATTAAAATTTAGGCCCCCGTTTGGCTCCCATTATTTGAAATTTTAATGGTTGGAATAATGTTTTTTTTTAAATGTGTGGTTAAAAAGGAAAAACAAGTTTTAGTATTATATATAATATTATTTTATTGGCGAATGTGTGGTAGAGAAAAATGAATCATAATTTTAATAGGGGCCAAACATATGCTAGATTTTAACCTGAATCAAAGTCAACAATTCATTTCAACCACATATTTTATAGGGATTAAATCATTTGTACATTGATTTTGTACATGATGGTTGACATGCCTTTGAAAATTCAAAAGTGAATGGGCGGGAAACTGTTTTTTATTTTCATACTGGCCAAACATACCGTGCCACATGGAACAATGTAAAATTTCATGTCAAGGACCATGNTTTTTTATTTTCATACTGGCCAATCATACCGTGACACATGGAACAATGTAAAATTTCATGTCAAGGACCATGTACATGTAGCATGATTGATTTTATAGGTCTCACAACTTTTCAACTACATTTTCATCAACTTCTATAAAAATCTGATTTGAATCTCCACCAAACAAGGACCATATCAATTTGATGTCGCTTTCAATACAAATTTCATGGAAAATACTTAAATATAAAATACGATACTCTTAACGTAAGGTACACTCACGAAACCATTAGAAATCAGTATAATTTTCTACAATTCAATCACATAGTTTGATCGAAAAATACTTTATATGATTAGTCATAAGATTGAGATGATTAATTGTGTGAATGAGATCATGGGCCAAGCTTTTTTATTTGTTTAAACATTTACTCCTTTTACTTTTAATTTTCTGTTGTCATCTGGGTCCAATTTGACCACCATTTGTATATCATATTAATTCGTTATAATTTTTAAATTTTTCATTCAAAGACGCGTTTTTTGGTCCCTAAGAAATCGAAAATAGAGAATAAAAAATCACTTTACGTGACACTTAAATTAATTTGTACAAAAGGAAATTATGATATTGATATATAATAAATAGAAATACTGAAATAGCCGTATCCAACAAGGTTTCGATGTTGGAGTTTAGCAAAGCAAGGTTTACATTCTCTCCAACAAACACTCCAAATAAGGTCATGATTATCAGAAAGCTGCTGAAGTCAGACCTCTATGCCTTTCGTTCCGATCAAAACTTACTTTGTTACTTTAGAACAGTTATAATTATACTCCTTTGTTTATCGAGTTATGGGGTTTGTCTAGAAATAGACATCCTTACACCGAGTATGGTCCTCGAGGATTCAGACACCATTGTTTCCCAAGGAAAGGTCTTCACTTTGGGATTCTTCAGCCCCAACGGAACCACCAGGCGCTACGTAGGCATATGGTATTATTTCTCCAGTGCGTCTGTTATGTGGGTTGCAAATCGGGATCGACCTCTCAATGATTCTTCAGGGACTATAACGATATCCTCGGATGGAAATATCGTAATCATGAATGGAAACAAACAGATTATTTGGACGACAAATGCCACAACTTCCCCTCGGAATGCATCTGCCCAGCTAAAGGACAATGGAAACCTTATTCTGCGCGATCAGTCGAGTGGTGTTTCATTATGGGAAAGTTACAGCCACCCGACAAACTGTTTTCTACCTACAATGAATTTAAGTCACAACACAAATTCAGGTGAGCAAGTGAAGCTAAATTCATGGAAAACTTCTCAGGATCCAAATTATGGAGATTATTTTGTGGGACTAGAAGTTTCAATAGGCATTCCCCAACTTTTTGCACGGTATCAAGATCGTCCATTCTGGAGGAGCGGTCCATGGAACGGCCGGGTTTTTACCGGAAAAACAAGTATGTACTCTGTGTACGTTGATGGATTTGATATTGAAAATAAAGATGGCACTTACTATTTTTTCCGAAAACTTGGTCAAAACTTGACAGTCAAATATATTTTAAATCCCGAAGGAACTCTAGTTGAAGAAGAATGGAATAATCAGATTGGTGGCTGGGATATATTGGGCAAGGGTCCGCACGTTGATTGTGATAAATATAACAAATGTGGGCCATTTGGGTTCTGTAACCAAAATAATTCGCCAATATGTCAATGTTAAGAGGGTATGAACCAAAGAACAAGCCGGAATGGGATGGAGGGAATTGGATTTGTAGATGTAAGATAAAGACGTTGTTACAGTGTGAAAGAGATAATAACGCGACGGATAAAAGCAGAGAGGACATATTCCAAAGGTTGACGACGGTGAAAGTGCCCGACTTTATTCAGTGGTCATCTGATCCCGAAAATGAATGTAAAAGTCTATGCTTAAGGAATTGTTCCTGCTTAGCCTATTCACATGACTCTTATATAGGATGTATGTATTGGAGCGAGAGCTTAATTGACATTCAGCAAAACAAGGATGAGGGTGGTTTAGATCTCTACATCCGCGTGCCCTACTCAGAACGCGGTACTGTTCGCTATCGAAAATTTTATTTTAGTCTGCAATGGCTGTAGTTATTATTACGACTTAGTGTTAATCTTGTTAAGAGTAATAGTCCAATCCCTTATATGTTGCTTAATATTTTTATATTTATATGACGTGGGCTTATCCTTTAACGATTATTTGGTGTTTTTTTTTTAATTTCAGATAAGCAGAGAGGCAAAAAAGGGAAAATCATAATTTTGGTGATAATCAGTTTGGTGGTTGTATCCATTTGCTTATTTTTTTCTTGGTGGTGGATGTCTAAGCGAAAAGGCAATCACATAATAGTACAACATGAAGCAGAGTTGTCGGGTTCAAACCCAATCATGCTTCAAAATCCAGAGGACAAGGTGAATATTGAAGAATTACCATTATACACTCTTGAGATGCTCGCAAATGCAACAGACAATTTCCACTCAACAAATAAGCTTGGTGAGGGTGGTTTTGGTCCGGTTTATAAGGTAATTGTTCGTGCTTATAAATGGATTGCCTATAATGATTCATTTATACAAAATAGTTAATCTTGAATTAATTAAAACTTGAAAAAGTCAAGATTGTTAAGAGATGTAGGTCAATATTTAATATATTTATTTTATTTTATTATATTTCGATCTATGATTTATCCTTTAATATGTCCCAAGAAGGTAACTCGTTTGAGGAGAGCAATTTTGAAATCCCATGTGCTCGTTTTTAGGTCTTAATTGGGTAGAATTGTTCATTTGGACTTAATGGACTTTGATATCATATTAGAACTTGATGTTCTATCTTAAAAGATAAGAATGAAGTCTGATACCTTGCACATTGGTTATTTTATAATCTTTTGATGGGGGATTTCCTTCAACATAATAAGAAGAGTAGACGAATGCATTATATGTTTGCGGTTTATTTTACGAAATGAAATTTATCCCAAACAAAATGAGTGGTTTTTATGTAGGGAAAGTTGGCAAACAGAACAGAAATTGCTGTTAAGAGGCTTTCAACAGCATCTGGACAAGGAATGGAAGAATTTATGAATGAAGTTGTGTTGATTTCTAAACTCCAACATCGAAACCTTGTTCGACTATTGGGATGTTGTGTAAAGAAAGATGAAAAGATGTTGATCTATGAGTACATGCAAAACAGAAGCTTAGATATCTTTCTCTTTGGTTAGTTTTATACAACTGTGTTCTGTAATTATTAATCCAATCAATTCCATAGTTTTGATGATCAATTGTACATGTAGATCAATCACAAGAAGTTCTTGATTGGAGAAAACGATTCAATATTATTGAAGGTATTGGTCGAGGACTCCTTTATCTTCACAGGGATTCCAGGTCAAGGATAATCCATAGAGATTTGAAGCCAAGTAACATACTGCTGGATGAGGAGTGGAATCCGAAGATTTCAGACTTTGGCATGGCACGATTATTTGGAGGCGATCAAGTTCAAGCCAACACTAAACGAGTAGTAGGAACATAGTAAGCCCATGACTTGTTCCAATTAAATTGTTTACTATAATTTTAGTTATTGTGTATGATATGGTTAGCTAATAACATTATTACAGTGGATACATGGCTCCAGAATATGCATTAAGCGGCAGATTTTCAGAAAAATCCGACATTTTCAGTTTTGGAGTTCTAGTGTTGGAAATCATAAGCGGGAGAAGGAATGCAAACTTCTACAATGAAGAGCTATCTTTAGGCCTTTCTGGATATGTAAGTTATTTGAATCTCTTTTGCTCTATAATAGGTTTTATGATCCTTTTTGTGCATAGTTAGTATATGTTACCGAACAAGCGCTCTATGTCTAATGATACGTGTTACATATACTTTTAGGCATGGAAATTATGGAACGAGGACAATACTGTGGAACTCATAGATAAAAGAATATTGAATCCTAGCCTCAATGCAGAAGTCACGAGGTGCATGCACATTGGATTGTTGTGTGTTCAAGAATCCCCTGTAGATAGGCCGACTATATCAACTGTTCTTTCAATGCTCAGGAGTGAAATTGCTGATCTGCCATTGCCAAAGGAACCATTATTTACAGATAGGTGGAATCGTTCTCATATATCTGCTTCAAGTCAAGCAGGCAACAATATTACATTAACAATTCTTGATGGCAGATGATATGAGAATTCTCAAGATTAATGCTGTGATTATCTTCATTTTTACCATTGGCTGATTAATTAATTTTCACTTCATTAACAATCACAAATTAATGTCAAAGGGATTGTATAGGAAAATATATATAGTGTATACACATTTACTGTATACAGGTTTCTGCATTCAATTGTGTTATATAAACCATTTTAGGTTACCGTTTTTCTTTTTAGACACAAAATGAACAGGAAAAAGGTTCTCTTTTCCCTTCTACTTTTGCGTGCTTTGCTCATTTTCTTTCGAGTCTTGACGCCGATTTATTTAATTGATTTCATTTAGGATTTTGATTTGGTTTTTTGAATTCTTAATTGGTTTCAATTAGATGAGGTGGATTTTTTTTATTTATGTTTTTATTATATTTTTTGGGAGGTTTTGGCCTAGTCCTCCTCTGTACTTTTTCATGCTGTTTAACAAAATTCATTGTTGGTTATTTATTTATTTATTTGTTGAAAAAAAAAAAAAAACAAACGTTGCACATGTTTCTTGGTGTGAAGATATTCTTGTGTTTTTGGGTTTTGAGTTTTTGACAAGAACCTCAACTCTTCAAGCCTTCCTTGTCTCTTCATAATTTAGCCTCTCTGTAATGACAAGTACTTTTGATTGTCAAGTGAAGCGAGGAGTAAACTAAGCAAGAGTTTGGCTACATGTTTGATTTCCTACATTTCTCCCAAGAATTTTGCAAGACTCGGGACATTTTAGTCTTTGACCTTTTCCCGAGCATGTCATCTTATCAACTTTGAGGATTTCTTCTAGAATATTCTAACGACACAAGTCATTTGGCCATTTCTAAGGATTTCCCTAGAAGATTTCCTTTAAACATGTCCCTGTGAGGGTTTTGCCCAAAGTCCAATCAAGCTAAAATGTGGTGACATTTGAATGAACACGTGAATGTGTTGTTATAAAACAAAACATTGGAGATCTGTTGAGAGATTTCACATGGATAACTATTTGAGTGACAGTGGTTAATCTCTAACATTCGGTAGTAGAATTGGTCCTTTGATTTGAGGTCATCATAGTGCCTCATATGAGGACAGTCATACTTTGGTATGTTGGATGTTATTCTGCCAAGGGTCTCTAATACAGTATCGTTTGGGTATGTCAAGAATCATACGAAGGTTGTGAATAATCAATATAGAATTTGTTACTCTTTGATAGTAAGAGATTATGATCTCCATTTTATCTAATTAAGTTGATAATGAAATCTTTGATCAATGTGAACTCATAAGTCGAAAATGAATTTTCGACTTACATTGACTTAACGGTGAGATAAAAGATACGGTCGATAATTGAGATTGACACACATCCATATCCATATCTCATAATTGGTCAAATCATATTGATTAAATGATTATAGTTTCACAGTAAACAAACAAGTTTGGTTTTGTCACACTACATGACATTTCTCGTCACATGTATTGCCTGACACATTAATTGATGTCAATTTAGACGACGAATGTGAATTAGTGATAAATTAAAAGGGGTGTTTTAATTTATCGATTTTGAGTAGATCAAAATAATAATTCACGTCTTTAGACATAGTAATTGTGAACCTAATGGATCACACACAAAAGAGAACTAGAAGAATGAGATTTACTAATTAATTAATTGACAAGTGTTGAACAATTAATTAATTAGTTTGCATATTCATAGGCTCGAATTGATTAATTGGATTAATTAATTCATGGACCAGATTTAATTAATTTGATTAATTAAATATTGGACCAAATTAAGTTCAAAAGACGGGTCAAGTCCGATTGGACTTATATTAACGGGCTACTAGGGTTTAAAAACTGTATAAAATAATTCATTGTTCTTGCTAGTACAAGAAAATAATACCTAGTCATCATTTCATGTTATATGTGTGGATCACCATTGGAGGCTAAACAATTAGACAGCTTAGATTGCAGA